ATAATTACACTCCCTATTATGATTTATTTATGCACAATAAGTGTTATTAGAACAATGATAAATAATTAAACTCGGAATGCACCAAATGTCAGATTGACTGCTAGCACATAGCATATCAATGCAATTTTTGGTTTGAGAGAACAAAATTAAAAGCGTGATTTCCAAATAAGATTTTTCTTAACAAATTTGTATGTTAAACTAAAGCATTGAAAACTATAAACATGCTAGAAGCCCAAACAATAATCTAGTACCAAGACAAAACCCACAAGCAGCGAGGAGAAGAAGAGAAAAATGGGAAGGAAAACAAGATAGGGATCCATGTTTTCAATTTTGAGAGAGAGCAAAAGAGAAGTAGAAATAAATTACATAAATTATGGTTCTCCAAGGTTTTACTAAATCCTGAATCTAGAACAAAAAGGAGAGATAAAGGGATTGCAAGGGCTATAAGATTTAATGATAAAAAAAATTGTTTGGCAAGATTCAAGTCAAATCATGCTTAAATCTTGCAACCAAGAAGCACCTAGAAGTTTGAAATCCAACTATCCTCCAATAGAATTAAAAAATTAACGTATTTGTGAATGATTGTTACGTGTTTGCATAATGCATAAATAATGTAGTAGTTTACTAATAGAGGAATGGGTGAGTGAGTTTGCTGTTTGCAGCAAATCGGGGACATCTGAAGGTAGAAAATTAGCTTTTGTTGTGAGCCTATGGCGGGAGGGGAACAATTGATAAATGCCTTTATAAAATCCATCCAACAAGGAAAGACAATTCATTTTTATATATTAAAGAAAGGATGGCCAAACCATAGACAAAAATTAGACGGAAGAGGAGGAGAAGAAAGAGCAAACCTTTATTAAGAACGGAAATGAATGACAGGAAGACTGCAACTGACGCTATGAGGAGAAGTACCATTCCAACCTTCCTCTTGCCGCAGAGTTTGCAGATCCATTGCAGGATAATCTTCTCCTTATCTCTTGATCCGAATGGAAGCATCTTAGGAGGCTTGAGTGCAGAGACCGAGGTCGATTGAATTGGTAATAAATCGCTGTTATGTGGCTGCGGTTGCAATGATCCATAACTCCTCGTACGAAGACCCAATGACCCTTCACTCATTGTCCTTTCATAACCACGTATCTCTCTTTCATTTCCCCTCTTCCTTCCTCTTCACTATCATCCAATGTTGAGCCAGTAAAATGAAACTGGAAATAATCGATAGAATGTTTTGTCTTCAATATATGCCCTCTAAATGAACAATATATGGAAAAGGTAAGGAAATCTCGACGATAATGTTAAATTCGCCATCTATGCATGAATCGGAGCCATTCGCATCATCGGAACAATCAACACCGATGGTTTATCAAATCAAAAACGTAAATCCAAAGATTTTAAATTATATCCAATCAAAAAGGGAAACTCAGAAACCCATTTTCCCCGCCCTCAGAAGCATTTTGCCACTAGATCGAGCCCTTATGGACGAAGTGTGCGAGATTCAGATAACTGAGTGATGGAGGAGAGGAAGAGGGGGGGTTCTTCTTTCATGGTTGGGTTTGTGTTGTTCCGTCTATGGTGGATGGAGGGAAAAAACTTACCTCTTCTTTCTCTCTGCGGAACCGAACTTTGGAAGGGGCTTATGAGAGCAGAATCGGGGTTTTAGCGTCCATTGTCGCTTTGATTCTTTGGCCGTTGTCGGTTTTCCTGCATTAATCACGGAACCCAAAACAATATGTTTAGAATAGCTGCGCTTGAGGGAAAACATTTGCTTAAGATTTTGAGGTTATAAGGAGGGTACAAGAGGGTTATACTCATGTTATAACTTCTTGTAACATCCATGTAATATAGTGCAATTTACTTGTAACCTATAAATAAGTTTCGTGCTTCTGTTATCATATACTAAGAATTTATTAGTAGGTTACAAGTAATTTATAGAATGTTATATGGAGGTTACAAGAGGTTATAACACGGGTGAGGGACGGAAGAAATGAGGGAGGCAATTTATAAATGCATAAAGAATGTTAGGATTCATTTATGTGATTTCATTTTAACTAAAGGCCCTTTTAGGCAGCTTAAAAGTGCGGCAGCACTTTGAAAATGTCATCTCACTGTTTGTTTCTCGCGTTTGATAAGTGTTTCAAAAAACGACGTTTCCTATTTTGTATTACATGCAGACCGCAGGTATATTCCCGCGGACCGCAGGTGCATTCCCGCAATCCGCGTTCAACCTCCAACCTTTTATAAAGCTACCCTCGCAAAACAGTCCCACATCCCTAACCTTTATACGAACTCTTAGCGTCGATCTTGCCTCCGTCGATACCCGAATTTGCTCCGCAGTATGGAATGTCTTCTCCTCCCTGCACTCCTCCTTCCTCTCTCCCATTTCACCAAAAAGCTTCTTGATTTGGACGATCCATGTGTTATTTTGCGGTGAATATGGAAGTGTTTAGTGGCTAAAAACCTAGATTCAGTTGTTGAGAGCAAGTGTTGTTGTTGAAAGTGTATATCCACTTTTTATGTGAAATATTTGAAGCATCGAGATTGATTCCACACATATTTGACGTGCTGTGAATTATGCTATGGTTCTCTCTTTCTCTTTCTCTCTCCGTAATAATCTCTTATACTCTATTACTGAGTTGTTTTCTTCGTGTTAGAGTGGGAATGTGTTTGATCAGTGAAGAATTGCCTCATGCTTTATTTTTAATGCCCTCGCGTTCATAATACGGAATTATTTTGGTCGGGACTGTAAAATTTGATGTTTTCATTCATTCTTTTGTTCCTGTCGATTCTACTGTTGAAGATCTGTTGTGGTTAATTGCGCAGGATTTTAAGATGCGGTTATTTGCAAGGGATTTGCTTTTTTTCATTTTATCATGCCCTTTCATCTATGTTAGATGCACGAATAAAAATGATGAGTTTTGAGGTTTCATGAATCAGTAATCTTAGCTGAAGTAGGATACTAGTTTCTATCTGTAAGTTCCAGTTAGAACTGTGTTCGTGAATCTATAGCTTGCTTTATTATTAGTTTTCGAAAGTTTGTTGGTTTATTTTGGATAATGATTGGTTATTTATCTAGAATCAGTTGTTTTCCAAACACACAGACCAAACATCCAGTCAGGTTATCCGGATCAGCTGGTCATTAATAGATTATCAGGATAAGTTGGATAAACTGCAGCTGCCCCAAACTGATCCTAAATCTTTAACGTGTAAAATTTGAAGTATTGATGTAAAAAAGATGATGAATTAAATTCAATTTAGGTTAATTTATTGTTTTATGTTTTGTTATTATTATGCTTTCCACATTGAGTTGACCCACCTAGGGTGCAGGGGACAATTCCCCCCTCCCCTTTCAAATTCAAAATTTTTCATATATGAGAAGATAATTTGATCTTCTTTGTCTCCCCTAAAATACCAGTTTTGCAACTCATGAAATATCACTTTGCTATTTATTATCTTATCCCCTCCCACGTTGAGTATATGGGACAATTTATCCCCCTTCAAAAAGAAAAATTATTAGGTCAGGACTCTGAATACATCCGAAGTCTAATGATAGAGCGTCACGTGGCAAGTGAGCCCCACAAATTTTAACACTGAACAATCTCACTATATTGTGGTGGGCCCACTTGACACGTGGCGCCCTACGATTAGACTCTGGACGCAAATTACGTTCGGAGTCAGGATGAATATTTGCTCCTTCGAAAAAATGATTGTCGTGTCATTATTTTCACAAATATTACGTATATTTCTTGATAGTTTTTAGAAAATTTATGATATTTTTTTTGTGAATTAGATATGCTAATATGTGATAGCTATAAAAAATAATATAAAAATTAAAAGAACGAACCTTCATAATACTCATAGTAACTTTATAAATTGGATTCACTGAAATAACTTTGCAGTCACTTTAATAAAAAATTGCATTCTTCTATGACGAACCTTTGGTAAACTAGTAAGTTGTTTTAGGTTTCGTTTGGAGGAATTAATGCGTGCGGACACCACATGCATCTCTGCATGCGGTGTCTGATCCTGATCGTAGATCACGGTGATCTGCGGTCATGATTATTTCCGTTTAAAAAAAATGATGGGGCCCACCAAAATACATCGGGACCATAAAGTAGATCAGGTGATCTACGATCCGGATCGGACACCGCAAGCTGCGTGCGGTGCCCGATCCGTATGGAATAATTTTTCTTCCGTTTGAGACACTTTCTGTTGGCTGCAACATATTTATTTGGGGAATTGTTTCTTAGAAATTTTTGTAGCGGGAGCTTTTTTTTCAATAAGCACTGAATTTTTATTTTTTGTTCTCCCAATCAAAATTCTATTTCATTACCCAATAAAATGCAAGCTTAATATCTCACTTAAATTTTAACAAAACATGAGTGAACGGGAATTTTCTTCTAGAAACGTGCATCCACTGCATTCTCCAATTCTCCGCTGTCCCTAGGGCTGTCAAAAAAGCTCGTTGTTCGCGAACAGTTCGTGTTCGGTTCGTCAATGAGTTCGTGTTCGATTCGTTCGATAAGTAAACGAGACAAACGCGAACAAATTTTTTTCGTTCGGTTAGTTAGACGAACCAAACACGAACAGTGATGCGTTCGTTCGTGTTCGAATCGTTATTGTTTGAAATATAAAATAATATAAAATAATTATATATAAAAAATTTATTATATTTTAAAACATTAAATTTTATAAATTATAATATATAATAAAATAATAATATTAATATATTAATATACTATAGTAGTAATATACTAATATAGATATTGTATATTTATATAATATAAGTTATATAATTAATATATAATATTATTTTTTATATTAATATTAGGGATGTCAAACTGGCTCGTCGTTCGCGAACATCTCGTGTTCGGTTCGTGTTCGGCTCGTTCGTTAAGAAACGAACACGAGCTTATTTCAAACCAACTAAATTTTAAACAAACCGAACACGAACACACAAGTTTTGTTCGTTCGTGTTCGGTTCGTTTACACCCCTAGCTGTCCCACGCATGGCATCTCATCGCCGTCTCCAATCAATGGCAGCCACTTGCATTCAGACACAATTTGTTGAACGATTTTCTTTAATTTTCAATCAGAGGCGATCGTTACGCTATTCTCCTGATCTCGCTCGCGCGAGCGAGTCGGAAAGTCGAGAGAAAACAAGCAAGAAACAGGTAGAAGGAAGCCGCAGCTACAGTCAGAAGAGATTATTTCAAGTCGGCGATGGCGCAGCTGCTCTCTTCCGTATCGGCGGAAGTCTTTTCCAACTTTCGGAACTCGTCGTCGTCGTCCTTGCGCTGTTCCGGAGATGGCTTGCGGGGAGCTGTGAATCACCGGCGGTCTGGCATCAATCGTCGCCGCTCATTCTGCAGGGGACAAAGACGAAGGGCTGACGTGGTTGTAGCCATGGCCGAAGATTCGTTCTTTAAGGAAGATTTTGCTGATGGCTATTATGAGGTTCTGGGGTTGGTAGGTTTGGAAGATCTAGTTATGCTTATTTCTGATGAATCGTTTATTTTATTTAGCTATCTGTGTCAGACTTTGAAATAAGGATTGAGGAGAAAGAATCTACTTACTTTCCTGCTTATTTGCTCCTCAATTGCTGTATAATTGTAAATATGTTTTAAGCTCTGGCTTTTGCAAATTGAATAGCCCCATATAATTACTTATTACAGAATCACCTAAGGCATGGTGCATCTGCATACATACACAGTTCTTCAGGGAACCTTTTTTTGTTCCATGTTTTATTTCTGGTGAACATATACTGCACGCTGAAAAACGAGCTGGTATAGTGAATATTGATATGACGCTATCAATTGCGTTATAGATTATCGATTTTGCACATAAAGGCGATTAATCCTAAATGTCATAGAATGAGAGACAAGATTTTAGTGTGCCCAATCCGAGAAGAAAAATCTATGGGAACTTCCAGTAATACTAAATGAGTTATAACTTTTCACCATTCCCTATATATTGAAGAAGGAATCACAAGAGGATGGAGGATGGGATGTTGGGGATTGTTATCGGCAGTTTTGTTTAGGATTGTTGTTGTTGTTGCTGTTTTTTATTTTATTTATTTTTGAATTTGGCTTTATGAAGCCAGACTCACGCATGCATCGCAATATAGACACTTGAACACAAAGTCTCATGGATAGAGGCAAAGCTCCTTACCAACTGGCTATGTGTCAGGCGTTAGTGTAGTATTGTTGTTGCCATACCCCAGTAGCTACGGTGCAAATCTCATGGAGACAAGTGTGAAATAATCTATATGGGAGATGGATATAATGTAGATCTTATTGGACATGGCTACAATGCTGGTCTTTGCAAGTTCTAAAGGAGGCGACAACAATATGAAAGTTGTGGTGTAGGAGAAATGACAGCAACACAAGTGAAGGCAGCGATGGAGGTTTTGTTTGGTGATTATTGCGGCATAAGCAAGGTTTATAACACAAGCCTTACATAAGATGGTTACAATGCTAAAAATGTTTGTAGTGTACGTCTTGCAAGTGATGGCTGCAACACAAGCAAGGTTTATGACATGGGTATTGCTGGTGATATATATAAGATCAACCCAAAAGTAGATGATATATATAAGATCAACCAGGTCGACTCACTTTAGTTCTGTCTCTGTCTCTAGTTCTCGGAAAGGAACCAACTAACACATTGGTGAAGTGTGTACCATTGTCTGAAGAAACCAAAGTATCATCCATTAGATTTCTTAGCTCAAGTAGATCTCCATTCTTCTTCCTTGTGGAAGTGTAGACCTGACATTTCTCATCCGAAGATTGTTTCTCATTCGGATGAGGTGGTAGTGCTGCATTAGAAAGATTGCCAACAGTTGTGCCCACAAGTGTATGTGAGGTAGGAGTTGTTGCCTCTACGTCTGATACTTTATGAAGATGGGGAGCTGCAAGGTTCTCCTGATTATCAGTCCGTGTAGGTAGGAGTTCATTATTTTTTTCAATAGATTTTGAAATTGTAGGTTGCTCAGTAGGGCCATACAACTTCTCATCGATCGCAGAAACAATATTTTTAGGGGGAGGGTCCAGAGGGGCAATAAAATCAGACACAAAATCCTGTCCTGTTGTAGTTTTCTCTCCAGGTGGAACAAATATATCTTTAGATTCATCCTTATTCAGTTGATGTTTAGATTTTAAATTAGGATGAAACTTATGACATTTATCAAGATTATGCCAAACATTTACAATGAGAACAATAAGAAGGTCCATGCTCTATGACGATTTGTTTCCAATATTCATTATGGTTTATGCCGAACCAGACTTCAACAACATCAGACAAAGTAATATCTCTTTCCACAAGTATTCTGACCACAGAAGACCTGATAAGGTTGAAAGTGGTTAGATAAAGTTTCATAGGAACCCTAAGTATGACACCAATAGAGTAAATAACCTGATGATGAAAAAAGTGCAGTTTGAGACCAGGTAGATTAAACCATAGACTAAACCATACCGATACCAGGTAGATTAAACCATACCGATACAGTAGAAGGTTCATGATTGGGGTCAAAATCAGGAGACCACTTGAGTAGTTTCAGTGGTTTGCCAACAATGTTAAGATATTTTATAGAAAAAATCTGAGTGTAGTCTTCGGGCATGGTTAACTGAATCAAAACATGTCTTCCATCCATGAGCCTCATTTTCTACTTTCCTGTTAATTTGAAGTCATCAAAACTTTTCCTGATAACTTCCATAGGTGGGTGTCCCCTCTAAAATTTTTTAATAAGAGCATATTTGAATTTGTCAGTCAGGGTTGAAATTTCTGACTCAAAGATAAAGAGTGTTGCGTTCCTACTTTTCCTGCTTGCATTCTTAATAAAGGGACAGTCACCTGTAACGTCACAATTCTCCTTATAACTTGAGGGGAAGACAACTGCCGTCTCTCATTGAGGATTACCCACCACATGGGCAAATGAGGTTTTGTCAGGTTCAATCGAAGAAGAAGGAAGCTCCATCACAGCAAGAGAAGCCTTGCAAGTCCGGCAGAGGGTAAAAAAGACAAGTCGAAGAGGTTTGGGCAAAGCTGCGCAGAAGACCGAGTGCACAGAGGCGAAGTAGCGGCTCGACAGACAAACCGCAGCTGAGGCGACACCGCAGCGGGAAGAAGAAACTGCAGCAAGACGAGGCAGAGGTGACATCGCAGTAGGAAGAAGCTGAGGCCCTTCGTCATTGGGCGCGAAAGAGAAGAGGACGATCACAAAGGAGATTGACGAGCACAAAGTCTTCGTAGTCGTCGTCAAATACGAGAACTTTGTCGTTCATCACGAGAGGTGGATTGAAGGCCGAATCAAACCAGGGTTTCTCCATCTGGCGAAACCCTAGTAAAGCAATATATATATAAATCAAATAAGAAGTTTAATGATATGATATAATTCAATAATTAAATGTATCCTATACTTTGATTTGGGTTCACCTATAGGAATTCACAATTTTAAGAATCAATCACAACGTTAAAAATGAAGCTTTCTATTTGCACTTTTTGTAATAAGGCTAGTATTTAAACTTTTAAATTATATTCTCTTCAATTTTTTCTCAACCGTGTCCATTATTTGCCACTAAAACTTGATAGCACTATTGTACTTTTATTTAAATGCTCTTTTAGATGTTGTCATATCATTGTGATGAATATATATTTTAGAAATACTACGATTATACATCATATAGATGTATAAAAAATAGATTGAATTAAATGAAATAAACATATGAATGATATGAACTGCATAGATTAAGTGCATGTGCATATTTGACTGTGATGAAGTTCACCCATTTATGCTATTAGCGAAGGAACACTAAGGTACTCATGCACGTAAATGAGAAAATATATTGATATTGAAATATCGTAATTGACACAATTTTAGATAGTCATTTTGCGACGATTGTACATATATAAAATTATATCGACATGTTATTGATATAATAAAACATATTAAATGTTATGAAATATTTTGATCGCTCATATTCTTAAATTATCAAATATTGTTATATTAATTTATTAAAAAAAATTGCAAAATTAACTGACATGCATATTGCTTTATTTTCGTTACGTTATTGTGGTTTAGAAGTAAATATACTCACCAATATTTTTAACTCAGTATTGTTTTAAATTAACATTACATGTTTAATCATTTCATTAAAAGATGAGCAATAAAATGTGGAAATGCATATAGAAGACGTGAATGACCCGAGCTAAGGTAAAAATTTAATTGTATTAATTTACTTTATTTTCTTTAGTGATTCTTTCATTTCATTTCGATTATAAATTGTTAGCTATAAGAAAAATTAATTTTCACCTTTCGAGCATTTGTTCTCGCCTGGTTTAATTCCAAGCCCTGGGTTGTGTGGAGAAATGTCCACAAAAAAAAAATTTCTAGTCCGCCTGCTTCCCACAAAGCGAAGCTTCGCCCTCCTTGCCTCTCTTATTTCGCGAAATAAGAAAGCCCTACCTCCTGTTTTTCGCGATACAGTAGGAAGCCTCCTCTAATTCGCAAATTGAAGTAATCTTGCTCTCTTCTTCTGCTTGGCTCACGAAACCGAGAGGTCTTCTCCCTCTTTTTCTTTCAGTTGGTGTCGAGGAAGAAGCTAGCGGCGGAGGAAGCTGACAACATAGAGGAAGAAGCAGCGGTGAAGAAAGACATCAACTTTGTAATTCCTTGAAATTGAGATAAGTGTTTCTTGTAATTGTCGAGACGATCGACTGGTGTAATTTCTCAAGTAATAAAATCCTTTGCAACTTCATAGACGTGGGCAAAAATTATCGAATCACGTAAATCTCTATGTGTTCCGCTGTGTTTTCTGGTGTAAATATTCTCGTTCTATTTTTCGTTGATTTATATATATATATATATATACCATAACAACTGATATCAGAGTCATGGTTCAGATCTAAAGAATGATGATGTTTGCAAATGAAGTGAAGGTTTTAGGAATCGAAAATTTGATGACATGAATTTTGGTTACTAGATGATGCAGATATACTACGTCTACGGGAAGAAACTTGATCTTCCATTATTAGAGAAAAGACCGAAAAAAATAGATGAAATAATAGAATTTGTTGGATCAACAAATACTGTGGGTTATTCGATTGACCCTATCGAGGTCCGTTGCACACAACGTCGTCAAGGAAAGGATAACTACAGATCTCATGACAGTTATGTCAGGTATGTATGAAAAAGCATCGACGAATAATAAAATATATCTGATGGAAAAATCATTCAATTTGAAGATGACTGAAGGTACGTCTGTTGTACAACACCTGAATGATTTTAATGCTATCAAAAATAAATTATCGTTTGTGAAAATTGAATTTGATAATGAGATACATGCACTGTTTTTGTTGGTTTCATTGTCAAATAGTTGGTAAACAATGATGACGATTGTTATTAATTCTGTATGTAAATCTAAACTGAAATATGATAATATTCGTGATTTGATTTTGGCTGAAGAGATGCGCAG